TGCCTGTCTTCTGTTCACTGGATCTTGCTCAGTGTAGCAATGCTAATGTTATCACCTGAGTTTTCAAGCCATGGTTGCAATGCACCACTCTAGGAATTCACTATTAAGATTATCCATGAGGGTCCTGATGTTCCAGGTCCCAAAATTGATTGTGTGTCTTTGTTGATTTCCTGCAGTAAAGGTGATCCCACTGGACACAGTTATCCAGTCAGCAAGAAGGTAGACAGGCCATGTTTAGGACACCTTTTCTATCCCCTTCACCATGTGGGGTGAGCAGAGCAGATCCTGAAGAGGGCTTTTGAGTGACAGTCACAGTTGCCGAATCACACAGCTGCCTTGTCCAAGTGCCAGATGATCCTTCTTGTAACTTCTGCTGTCCTGCCAGTTCATGACTAGGAGCTTCCAGACCTCACAATCCTTCTCCTGTCATCACTAGCTGGTCACCAAAGGGGTTGAAAAAAATGTGCTGGAAAAGCTATTTTCATGGAAGATGCCTGTGTGTGATTTCTTTTATTGTAGAGAAGCTGTTGCGCATCAGCTTCCACATGGTTCTTGGCAGAATGGGACCTTAATCCAGTTGCAAGGATGCCAAGACAATTGGAGATCTCATTCTGCTGCAGCCTTCATCCTCCTTCACAGCCATTGAGATTTTTAACATCATCTTTACCTGCTTTGCTGTTGAGGATGGTAGACCCATGGCTTATTTTGGTGACCACCTGTTCTCGCTATGACACAACTGTCAAAGGATATATGTGGCTTTTCAGCAGAGCTGTACTGCTACCCAGCGTGTCCAGAGGTGTTGGATAGAGGAATGACCTTCAGGGAATGTTAGAAAAGTTTAACAGCTCTCCATGCAGGCTGCTGTGAAATGCCCCCACCCCAAATAGGCTGTGCTGTGATCCATTGGCCCCTAGACACTAGGGTGTGTGACCCACAGGGGCAACTGGGCTCTGTTGTTCCTTGGGTCCCCACCCTTTGCCAAAAGGTAGCAAAGATTTCTCCCCAGGCCTTTTGATTTGCTGCCAAAGATTTGGCTTTCCACTTGTGCATTTTTTCCCCATTGCTTCATTATTGTTTACATATATTTAAGGGTACAGAGGCTCTTAGGCAAGCCCTCTAGGCAGCAGCAAAAAAAAATACTAATGGAAATGGTAGAAATTGTAATTCATTGGGTGGAAAATAATGCAGATGCTGTTGAATGCTAGTATGTTGTGTTGCAGTTAATATTTAGAGAGCCTATTTCTTCATATTCCATTGCAGTCTTCATCCTTACACTATTATGTTACATTTATTTGACTAGCTTTAACTTTTCTTATACAATTGGCTCATATAAAATAGATTATCAACCTGACTTCCACACCTTTCAAGAAGGAATGGATATAATGAGGTCTAATCAAAGAACATCAGCCCCTCTTAGAGTATAAGTTTAGTATTTACAGCTCTTACTAAATTCCCCTTGAGCCTTTTTAGGAGGCAGCAGAGCTAATGTTCCCCTCCTTAGTAATGACCTTTCTGTAATTTAGACTTTCCTGAGAATTTCCAAGCATATTGCTTTCACTTAACTGGATCCTCTTACTCCTCTGTGAAGTCAGATATTTATGTAAATGTTGAATTTTCACTGCAGACTTTTGACTCAAGCTACTTTTTTTTCTTCTTCTTTTTTTTCCCTTTCCACAAGATCCATTACTTTAAAAGTGCATTATAATGCTGGATTAAATGATTTTATATTACCTTCAGGAGAGAAGAAAGATACAGAAAATAGTACCTTTTGCTATTAATGATGGCCTAATGTTCAAAAAGGGCAGTGATTTCAGTGTATCAATTTTTGCGTGTAAAACCTTCAACACCTTGAAAAGGCCTCGCTTTCAAAAGTGAGTAGCACAATAGGGCCAATTTAATGTTACATGGGAATCTTTAATTCTGGCCTTTACCCACTTCTCCATGCTTTGCTGTATAATAATCATGTTATTTTATATGTAGGATTTTGTGTGTGTTATTTGAATACTTGCAGGATTTTCCCAATAGTTTTTGATTCATGCTGAAAAATTACCATATTTTCATATCCTATATTCATTTTTGTAAATTTAATTTTCTTTATTTGGCATTATTGATGGTTTAGCATGTGTGTGACTGCCGAGTTTCCAACACCCGGTTGCGTGCAGCCTTGGTCCGAGAGACGGGTGACGTACATCTTACAGGCTCCCGTAGTTGGCCGCGTAGCTGTTCACTCCAGGAGTAGGCTTTCCCTATCTCATCTGCCATGACTTTGAATTTTCCTAGTGGGGGGTTGGGTATCCGGGGTCCCTCTGCGGCACACGGTTTGCCTGACCGTCACTCACGGGGCTCCACCACCCCTACACCCTGACCTCATGCCACCTCGATGGATCCCTCCGTATCTTTGGCCACGTCCCTTCTCTCCTGTAGCTATGGTGCCTCTTGAGTTTCTTCCCATCTGGGATATCAGCCCTGGAGCCTGCTTCGCTTACCCCTTCGTGGGTCTTCTATGTTCGGTGGTCCTGCTCGTGAAACCTACACTCGTCCAGAGCAAACTCCTGCTCTTGGGACCAAATCACCCCTAGATGCTCTAGGGCTGTGCCACACTTACACTATATACCTAGGCCCGTCCTGTCTCTCAATCCCTTCACCGGGGAAACAAAAAGGAAAAACACAAAAGAAAACCACAAGACACCTCGTCTGTCGCTTCGCTGAAACTTAGCTAGTCTCCCTCCCTGGTTTCTTACAACCGAGCACTGGGAGCCTGGTTCCCCTACAGCAGAGCTTTCCAAACTTTTCATGTTGGTGACACACTTTTTAGACATGCATCATTTCGCAACACAGTAATTCAGTTCCGGGGGAGGGGCCAAGGGAAGCAGACGCGAGTAAGGGAGCTCCGCGGTGTCCTTCTGCAAAATTTTCTGCATTTCGCACGACACACCTACACACTGCCGCCGACACACTAATGTGTCACGGCACACAGTTTGGAAAGCTCTGCCCTACAGTCTAGCTAAGGGGTACCCCTTTTGTTGGCATTGAACACACGTGTCCTCCTACTTGGGTCGTCCGCTCCGCCTTCTCGGCTCCTTTCGCGAGCCCTGGGCCACCCCACTTCCCTCCCTCCTGGAGTGTCCCCGTCCAAGAGTCTTGTAGTCCTTATACATATGGTTCGTTCCTCTTTGTATACAGTATAGGTGCCCCGCTTGTCCTCAGCCCTCCCTGTTGCTCTTGCCGGGACCTCTCTGTCGGGGCCACCTCCTCCCCCTCCCAACCTTTCCCTGTACTCCCACCTGCGGTACAGTGGAGCTTTGCAGGTCTTTCCCCATTGCTCCTGCTGCTTCCGCTGTCGCAGCTCACAGGTCTTTCCCCGCTGCTTCTGCTGCTACCACCGTTGCAGCTTGCAGGGGCTGCTTCTGGCTTGGTCTCGGTGCCAGTGCCCTGTTCCCTGCCGCCACTGCCAAGCCTCGGATCAAGAGCCTCTTCCAACTCCTCGTCCAATGCTCCTCCCCTCCTGAGGGTTTCCCAGAGTGGGTCGTGAGGCCACACGCTCCTCCAGTCCATTCTCCACTCTCCTTTCCTTCTGTCGTCCGCCATTTTAATTCTCGCTGGCCGGTGATTGCTGGTGACGTCACTGGCTGGCCTCAGTTGAATAAAGACATGGCTGAAAAAAGGTCATAATGTACATGGCTGAAAAAAGGCCATAATGTAAACATACTGTACACAGTGACATCAGTTACTATTTAAAAAGTCATTTAAAATTATGAATTAATAGCAAATAAAGACATTGCTATAAGTGAATTTCAGTTAAGAACTCTGGAAAAAGTTCTGCCTTAAGGACCTTGTTACACATTGTATTTTGAGCTGCTCAAATGCTGATTGGTGTTAGTGCTAACTTTTGTGACTGGTTGAAACAGTCGCACCTTAAGGCTAAGAACCTTCTCCGACTGTTCCCTACCTGCACAACCGTGACTTGCCACTAGAGGGCTGGCAAGCAGGGCCCTGACTAGGAGCTATAGCTGTATGTAATTGCCCACTGCACTCTAAAATGAGATCTGTGTGCACTCTTTTTAACCTAACAAGTGTCAGTTGTTCAACCTGGAAGGCATTGGTTTTTGCTTCTGGCCAGGGAGCTAGTTGCCTCTTGGTAAAAATTGGTGGGGCTTTCTTCATTTTAGCTGCTTTGCAGTAATTGCTCATGTTCATGGTCATTCCCTACAGTTGATGAAGGCTGAATCACAAAAATTTAATCCTTGTTTCTTATGGGCCCCCTTGGGCTTAAGGAGTGTTTACAGATATAATGTTTATGAGAGTGATAATTGTCTTTAGATATGAAAATAGACAGTCTGCAATCCTTTCCTTCTTCGTGCACTGAGGAACACAAGGCAATTCATACACTGGAAAAATCTGTTCTCCCTAATAATCCTTCAAGATGCTAAGCAGCTCCTTGAACTCCCCAGGAGTTTAAGGAGATAAACTGCTTGCAAAATAAGACCAATGAGAATTTTAAAATGATTTAATTCACTATTCACTATTTGAAGTTTACAAATCAGTCCTCTGTACATTAATGCCCAACATGTTTTGACATTTTCTGATTTTTTTTATTTTTTTTTTACCTTCTTAGGACTGTATCTAGCTCTTTCATACTAGTTTCCTTCTTTATTCATACCATATACTGTACTTCATTCCTGGAAAAAGTATGTTTGTACTGCATAATGTTACTATATCATTTATCACAATATTAAGTGCCGTCAATCCTTATTTCTACATTTTGCTAAATCTGCACTATGATTCCATATGCCTTGTCAACAATAATATTTTGTTCCCTGCTAGGTTGTAATCCAGACAGTATTGTTCTCCAGTGACTTGCACCAACATTTTAATGTATCTTGAGCCCTGATGTTTCTTACTATACAAATCTTAAGTTGTTTGTGAGGGCAATCCTGTGCTGTGCTATGGTAAACCATCTTGAAGTTGCTTGATTATTTCAGAATATTTGTTTCAATCAGGTGGAATCTTCAGACAAGTTTATGGACAGTAGCTGTTCTTGTGAAGTAACCTGTAATGAGGATATGTTACCTGCAGCTGAGGAAGATGGACCGAAGGACATTCCTCCTATCATCTGGAAATCATTGAAACATAATTCTCTTCAGTATAGTGAGTTTTATATATCTCTGTCTTTACAAGAGTGGGTCATATTTATTTTAGACACTGTTGTGGATTATAATGTTAAATAGTCTAAAGAGCCCTGTTAGGTGAATTTTGCAGCCTTTCTTCATCTTTGGTGATTGCATAGAATATTTATAGTTATGTGTTTGAAATTAATTACAGAAATGCTGCTGCCTCTCAGAAGGATCATTTTTATAAGAGAACACCCCACCTTTTCACAGCATTTTGTGTGTTCATGCCATTAATATAATGTATTCAGTCTTTCAAAATAAAATGATTAATTTAATCTTCAGATAATCAGATTGGAGATGAGAGTGATTTTATTTTTTTAAATAAAAAAATCACACCAACTCTCCTCCTCAATCCCTACAACAGTTAGGACATTTATTTTATTTTACATTTTTTCTCCTAATTCAGTTTAAAAAACTCACCTGTGAAACATACTCTCACCCATGTATTCTAACTGTGAAAAAGTACCATACTTTTATTTTAATCAGAGTGATTTCAGAATTACATTCAGCATCTACACCATTTCCTAGGCTCAGATGTTATTTCAAGTTTCTCTTCTTCTGTTATATACTCCCATGTATGTACATGAGAGAACTATACATGACATTCTCATTGGTGAATAAAGCCAAAAATGTTATGAATGCTCAGGTTTGCAGACCCCAACCCTTATATTAGGAGTTCTAAAACAAGACTCTCTATATGACTTTGTTGGAACTACTTCACCATCTCCATTTAATAACGTACCATGTCTTCTACAAACAATTACTTCATCTTGCATTGGTGGGAGCAGAGTGCAGCTTTTGTCACTTTCAAGAATGATTAAAAAAAAAATGCAAGAAATAGTCTTTGAAACTTGCTGGAGACCTACTTAGGCACCTTAATTTAAATTACTTTCCTTAAAAGTTAGGTTCTTAAATACCCAGAGATAAAATTTTTAAAGGAATTTAGGTTACTGTAATATTGGTAAGTGTCTAATACAGTGGTTTGCAACCATTTTATACTCAAAGCAGCCCTCAGAAAATGTTAGGTCTTAGCTTTTGCACATTTCTTGAGTACAGCAAAATAGTAGAGCAATTTTCCTCTTGTAAAGAACTCAGGCCACACCAGATCAGAATATTTTTAACACTATGGATTTTTATTTGAAATCTCTGGGTTTCTTTTATGAATCATGTTTGTATACCTAACCACACTCATGTTGTGTGGCACCCTGTTGCACCCTTAAAGGGACCTCAGGGCACCTCAGGGTCCTATGGCACTGAGAAGCACTGGTCTATTACAACTTTCAAAATAGGTAAACAGATTAGGCACGTTGTGGGAATTTCAGAAGTGGCTGAGCAATTTAGGCATTTAACTTCCATTAAGATCAAGCAGGAATTAGGTACATAAGTATTAGGACTGGATGAAGCTTCAGGTGGTGATTTGTTTTGGAGGAGATTCAGCCCGATTCGGTGGCCAAATCGCCAAATCTGAATCGAGTCAGGGGACCAGTTAAAAGGTCCGAATTGATTCAAAGCTCTCTGAATCTTTTCCAAAGATTCGGAGAGCTTCAATGGTTTGGACAGTCCCTGGTGGCTGCAGCAGGGAGCTGCAGCCCAACTCAGAGCTGGTAAGTAGTGGGGCGGGGGAGGGGGGGCTGGAGGAGGGGGAAGGGTACCATAAGGGGACCCTTACCAGGCCCCATCTCCTCCCTGCTCCCCCAGCCCCCCTGACCCTTGCCTGTCCCTCCCAGCCTTCCCCATGGCTGCCCCATCCCCCCTCCAGCTCCCGGTGCTTTAAAAGAAAGTCCCCACTCGGTGCTGCCAGACGGGGGGGCAATCCCTGCTGCCCCCCAGTGCCCCATGCTGCATGGGGGGCTCTGCACAAGCCCTCCCACGGCTGCCCCACCTGCCCCAGCTCCAGTGCTTTAAGGAAAAAAAACCTAGAAAAACTCCAGGACTCACTACTCCTGCAGCACTCTCGGGGCTTTGGGGGGCTCATGAAAGAGTCCCCCATGTGGCATGGGGGCAGTGGGGATCTCCCCCCACTGGGCAGGAATGGTGAATCTGGGGTTTTTTTGGTTTTTTGTGGGGTTTTTTTTTTTTTTTCTTAATGGGCCAGAGCTACAGAATGTTGTTTCCCTGGGGGGTTTTTTAAAGAGCCGGGAGCTGGGATGGGCGGGGCAGTCATTGCCAGGCTGGGAGAGTGGGTGGGGATGGGCCTGGCTGATTCGGAGGGTTGGCAGCAGCCAAATCTCTGAATTGGATTCAGCTGAATTGATTCGGGACAGTGATTCAAATCACTGAATCGAACCATTGTCCCCTGAATCGGCCGAATCCGAAGCAAATACTAGCCGTTTCGCACAGGCCTAATAAATATCTTTATTCCACGTTACTTTAGGTGTTTTAGAAAATGTAGCCTGTAATGCCTAATGCTTTTCTTTCCCCTTCATGTATGAAGCCATGTTTGTTGTGTTATAGATAGGGAGATTACAGAAGGCATCAAAAAATGACCTTGAATACTTGACTAACATTTTAAGAAACCACATCTGGCTGAGATGTGCAGTTTATAGGCTTTGATGGCCATGCATATACATGTTATATCCAGGGATCCTGATTTTCTCTGATATAAAAAAATCCCTAATTTTCAGATTTAAAAAAAGTAACCACAAATCCACATTTTTCCATGAGTAAAAGGAAACAACACTTATATATATATGTAACAGCACTAACATACATGTATGTTAGTGGCATTTTCTTTTAATCACAGAAAAAATGTGAATTTGAGGTTACTTTCTTAAATCTGAAAATTGGGGATTTTTTTAAATCAGAAAAAACCAGGATCCCTGGTTATATCTTATCATCTAAATTATGTTTTGAACTGTTCAGGTAACCTGTAACTTTGCTATAGAAGTTTGTCTTATTGGGCGCATCTGCCTGTGAAATTAATTCGACTGAATAAACTCTGGCACATACCGCTTTGGAATTTATTGCTCCCAGCCCAGTGTTGACACATGTGCCCAGTACTGCAGCACATTGAGCTGAGGTGGAGCAGCCATAGCTGGCATGGGACCCCCCCCCCCAGGGGTCACCCTGCTCCTCGTGGCTCAGTGTGCTGCAGAGGGGCTGGCTGAGGCATGAGGGAGCTTCAGTATGGAGCTAGCTGGCAGGCAGCACCCACACTGAAGCACTCATGTGCCCCATCCAGCCCCGTCAGTGTCTACACATGCATTGCATTGCACTAAATAACACTGCCATAGAATAGTACCTGTGTTGGGCAGTTTTATCCTATGGCAATGTTTATTAGTTTACTGCAGCCTAAGAGGGCTGCAGGTGTAGACGCTGATGTTTTAATGCAGAGCTAATTAGGCAACTCTGCAGTAAACAACTCATGTAGGCAGGCCCACTGAGAATAGATACTTTACTTTAAAGGGTTTTCTTAGAAAAGCCATAACCTGATATTTGCTGTAATTTTAATCATATTGATATTCTTTCATTTCCACAGGTAAGACATTAGGATGTTCAGGAAAATCCCTAAGTGGTTACCAGTGGGTTTCAGGAATCTCTGCCTGCTTTCTTCCAGTAGAAGGCAAAAGTATTCAAGATGCAGCTCTGGAAGTCTTTTCTTCTCTCCAAGGTGTTATATTCAATGGGACCATTACTTATCATTAAAAACTATTTCTTTTAATACAGTATGACATAAAAAAATGATATATTTTTTCTGTGTTCTTATAGTGTTAAATTTTGTGATTGTAAATTTTCCATCTTGGGCTTGCCTCAGGCTCAAATCATGATCTGACGACTGCTGACTTTAATATTGAATACATTGTAATGTGCATAGATTCTGAAGACCATAAAAAGCCAGGGTGGGAATCAAATCAGTATAACAGTATTATTTCCACAATATTTTAAAAGCTTTATGGAAAACAACTCTAACTTTTTATAGAATGGAATATATAAAAATATATATTTATCTGCCCTCCCACCCCAACACACAGAATATATCTGTGTCTTTCTCTCTCTGCGAAGTATACATAGCATATATGTATGTTTTGTAGATACTGTGTACTTGCTAAAGTGCTTTTGTTAACACCATAGTTTTAAATTAAGTTTTCTAAAAAGCTGTTGCTGTTCCACATTTTGGTACCTATGATTTGGTCACTAGCTGTAAATCTCACTTATATACTTAATACAAAGAAGAAATTGCTGTCACGGGAATCATGGAATCCAGATTCCTTACTGTCACACTCTTACAAGATATTGACATATAAAACAAAATAGGACCATTTTGTTTTGCATCTTTCTTCATTTTAAACTTTTAAGTAAAGAATGTTTATGTAGGCTTCTTTTTCATTCATAAACCTGGAAATCATTCTTAGGACTACACGAGTAGGCTCATATTCTTGTTCAAGAATTCTTGTGATGTATTAGCTCATAAAATCTTTATGTTTGGCTTGTGCAGCTGAGTTCATGACTGAATGCAAAATGATAGAGAAGCCTTAGCATTTTAGAAAGCAAAGAAGTCATGCTTCCTAGAAGGCCCTTAAGCTAGTTTTTAACAGCCTGGAAATCAGCAAGGCGGGTATAATCAAACTTGTAGTTAAAGGCACCACTGTTTAGTGTAAATCTTTTGGGCATAATCTGTAAATTGAAGCAAAGGGGCTCTATAACATTTTACTTGGTTCTCATTATATTTGTATGGACATCTGCCAGTCTAAACATTTTGTGTTTTTGCTTTACCACCAATCAGAAATAAAAAAAAAAATGAACAAAAAACAAAAAAAACCCAACTGATTATGTCACTGGTCAGTTGAGTAGCCTCTTGCTTTCAGCATGTTACTTGTATTAGCTGTATTGTTTTCCATTTCTGGCAAAGTAGTAGTTTTTTTATCCTTGGTAGAAAATGTCAGTGCTCACATTTCCTGTGGGTTTTTTGCCTTTTCGTGTTGAGGGTGGGGAAAGTTAAATGAATTATGATCCTGTCATCTGAAGTAACCACAATATGTTTCTTTTGCCAAATTTTTCTGAGAGCTAAACTGATCATCTCTAGGTATGTATGAGCCTTTTCCTGGACTCGTACTAGCAACCTACACAGGACTTCAGTCTGTTCTCTACCATGCTGTGACAGTGGAGCATACACATGTCCTTTTAGCCTTGTTCTAGGAAGGTTAATTGATTTAATTCTCTCTAAAGAGGACAAGCTTTGCCAGAAGGATTTAGAAATGAAACTGTGTTAGTGGACTTCTAGAAATGTATACTAATCATACCTCATGATATCAAGACCGAAAAAGGGAATTCGCTGCAGTATTGTTATGTTTATTCTGTGACTATTTATTTGAGCTTTTCTTACAGTGATCTTTTTGAAAATAATATTTGTTATTGTAATTTTCGTATTTTGTAACCTTAGGTGTTATACATTGACAGAGCTCTATAGGTTTCAATGGAGCTACACAGATTTACAGTGAGGAACTAACCTAGAATTAAATAGCTCTACAGTGGGTGTGTCTACATGAGACACTTAACTGAGCATTAGCATAGTTTACTGCGAAGTAAGCATGTGCATTTATACGTGCACATGCTTACTATGCAGTAAACCTCCCTAATCCTGAGTAAATTTGCTACCTGCAAGTGCAAGTAGCAAATTTACTTGAGTTTAGTAACAGCGCAGTGGTGCGTGTATAGACACCTGACTGGGAGCCAAAACTGCTCCGGGTTAGCCGTCCACCAGGGGCCAGGAGATAGTTCTGTCACAGGAGCCCGGGCAGGGACTATGTCCTCTTTCCAGGCACCAGGGAGTTGCATGCCCCTGCTTCAATATCGGGGAGCGGGGGGTTGGGAGATGCTTAGCTCCAAGCCTCTGCTCTGCCATCTTGATCACAGAGTTGGGGGCTGGGAGACCCTTATCTCCCTGCACCGGCTCTGTGACCATGGGACCAGTGCTGGGAGATAAGGGTCTCCTAGCACTGGCTTTGTGGTTGTGGAGCCAGAGCTGGGAGCTCCCTGCTGGCTGAGGCAGGGGCAGGGGAGCCTGTTTCCTCCCCAGCTTGGCACTCACAGAACTGGACTGGGAACTAGCTCCCTAGCCTGTTCCCCCCAAGCTCTGGGCTCATGGAGCTAAGCAGAGAACAAGCTGCCTATCTTCTACCCGGCATACAGGTTGGGAGCTGGGAACAGTGCTGGTCAGGGAAAAGTCCCAGCTCCATGCTCTGATTGGGTGATCAAGGCATGGGGCTTGGAAAGAGCTGCAGGAGTGGGGTAGGTCCCAGCTTCCTGCCCCAATCCACCAGTGGGACAGCTAGCAGTGACCTAGCTGCTAGCTTCGCCACTGGCAGATTGTGTCAGGGGGCTGGGACCTGTTCCTCCCTTGCAACTCTTTCCAAGTCCCCTGCCCCTGATCAGGGAGCCAGGGCCTGGTGTCGGGGCAGGGGGACGTTGTCCTCACCCCAGCAGCCGGCAGCACCCTGGGTCCAGGAGACAGCTGTCTCTTGGCCTGGTGCTCCCTGCCAGTCCCTGAGCTAGCACCCAGGAGGAGCCTGGAGCTCCCCCTGGTGGCAGCAGAGGCCCATTGCAGGGCTGCAGGAAACTTGGTGCAGAGAGGAGCAAATTTGCTCCCTAATCCCCACATGTATAGGCACTTGCTCGAAAGCACTTATACAAGAATAGCTTACACCAGAGTATACTAGGCTGGATGAAATGCATGTGTAGATGTGCCCAGTATTTACTGCATTGGTGTTGTCTTTTATGTATTTTTCAGAGTAAGGCTCTTACTCAGTCCATATGTCAGGCCATTATTTTTTTTTGTTGTATTAAATGGTATTTCTCACTGTTTTAATTTCATTTCAAAAGTCTTACTCAGGATGAATCACAACTGACCAAAGTCTACAATCCCTAAGGTGACAAGGAAAGGCCCAAACCTTAGTACATTATAGAACTGAGTTGTGTATAGGTCTTCATTTCGAGGTAATGGATTGAAGACGTGTAGGTCCAGCAAGAATATTGATGGTGGGGAGGTTAGTTTGACAGTCCATCAACTAAGCCGTACTGCTAGATACAGTTTGTTCTAATAGCAGCTTCTGAGTTGAGAACATTCTATCTCCTCATTCCTTTAGTTCATTAATAAATTTCTATGTGAATGAGACAGATTTTATTTTTATGACTTTTAAAGGAAATTAGAAATTACCTTTAAAATATTTCAACTTGGTCAAATATTCACAAGGCAAATATTTGTTGGTGGTGGTTTTTGCTTTTTCAATATAGACCTGTATTTCTCCCAAATAAATGTTTCACATTATGCACATTACACTTTAACTTCACAAAAAGCTTTTACAGCTTGGCTAAAATATCGTTTCACTTACTGAAGGTTCGAAAAATATATGATTTCCTTGCTGTCTAGTGGAGTAATAGCTGACATTGACTTACTGGTTTCTTTTGGGCAGCTTTCAAAGCACAGCTCTGCTTTAGCACAGATTTATAATTTTATGCTAATTACTTCTTTGATATTTTAGAGTTACGTCTTGACTAAGTAGGAGTTCTGTTGAATTTTTTTGTCAGTTGCTTTATCATTACATATGTCTTACTGTTTCCTTTATTCCCACGAAGAGTTTCCCATTCCAGACTTAGTACTAAGCAATGGCATGAGTGGGGATAGCTCACATACTTATGGATAATTCCAGCCTGATGGAACTATATTGACTTTAATGGAAACATGCCAGCTTAAATTTTCCTCTGAACCTATTTAAGACAACAGACATGTTTAACATGAAAACGATTTCCTTTTCACTTTAGCCACTTCAACAGTTTACTTCTTTACTCTCTTTCTGTTCCATTAGAGGACACACATGTTTGTACAGTATATGACTTAAAAAGCAATATAGTCAAAACAATCATGAAAGGGAGGTCATGAAGTTTGCAGTTAGCTAGGGTCCAATTGGATCCTAGTGCTATATACAGTCTATACTCAATTTATGGAATTTAGTTTCTATGGGTTATGAACATTAAATAAGGCTATGAGGATCACAGAGTATAGTGTCCCGTAAATGTTGTTAAGGCACCAGGCTTGTTGTAAATTTCATTCTCTTAATTACCTTGATTTGATCTTTTCTCCCCTACCAGGTCAGCATAAATTTCGTCACAGATTGGATCCAAGCACAGGGATGAATTAGGTGACCTCATGGGGGTCCTGTCCAGGCCTACATATCTCTGATTCTAAGTCCAGGAAAGATTGTTATTGTTATTTTTTTGTTTTTAAACTGATAATAGTAGTGCAGTGGAACGTAGACAGCATGTATGCACACAATGCATTCTCTTAAGGCAATTTTAAGTCACCATTATTTGGGTTTGAAGAACTTTCATTTATCTTCTATCTCTTTATTATCAGAAACTTAACATAAAAAAGCACTTTGTAAAAACTAGAGGAAAACCATCAAAGATTATTAAGAGGGAAAGTAATATATTACTAAAGCCCTCAATCATACTAAACGTGTTAAGATACTATCATTTACTTTTCTTGAACAAACATAAGATGCTTCTGCTATCTTTCTGTCCACATTTAAAATATCCTATCTATAACAGCTATGTTATTTTTTTTTCCTGCAGCTAATATGAATTCCATGGGATTTGAACTGAAAGATATTATTTTGGTCCATTTGTATATGAAGAGCATGAAAGATTTTGCTGTAATAAATTCAGCCTATGTGACAGAGTTTGATTTGTGTCCACCGGCAAGGTAGGATCAGACTAATGCTATAGTATATTTATGATACACTGTAATATACTGTGTTACAGCTACTATATTTATATTTATGAAGTTTTTGTACACATTTTTGTTTCTCTTTTGTACTCAGAAATAGGCTTGCACCCACCTTTTTTGGGAGAGCAGCCTGTTTCTTACTTTCCTCATGTAACATTAGTGTTAAGGTAATCATATATACTTCTTTAATAAAATAATGCATGTGACAGGGAAATCATTTTACTGTTCTAAATATATAGCTGACTTATTTTGCAATGGAGACCAAGCAGATATGTTTTAATATTTGTGCCTGTCACAGCTCCTAGTGTGATGTCAAATCCAGATCTGATGGAGTAAGCCAGTCCAACAATCTAGGCTTGCAGTATTAACCATATTTTCAGTCCTTTTTCTCTCATAGGTTCTACTTTGAGTGGCTGTATTGCATTTGAAGTGATACAGAAAATGCCTAGAATACTGGAAAATTTTTATTAGATTTTTAAAAGTTATGTATCAAAATCATAAATTCCGTTAGGACAGGAGTTGGCAATGTTTTGCAGCTGGGGATCACTTTTAAAGGAGCTTAGCTTCCAACGCAGCCAATGCTGCCTCCAGAGTTGAAGCTGAAGGCACACTCACTGGTCCCTCTCCCACAATTCCTTTCTGCTGCCTGTTGCTTCTTTCTGCTGGCCGGGCACTATGCAAGCAAAGCTCTCCACTGTTGAAACGCTTCCGAAGCCCCCCCCAGTTCTACAGGCTAAATCCAGCCTCCAGGCCATAGATTGCTGATCCCTGAATTAGAAAATAAAATTAAAAAAAAAAGAGAGAGAGAAAAAATTGTCTTAATATTCCTAATTTTTGTTTAAAGCAAACAGTTCCAGCTAGAAAAATGAATATGCTTTCATTTCACAATGCTTAGCAAGTGAAATACTACAAGAATAGCTGATTTAGTGAACAAAATATTACCTATGCTCTTTTTGCCATGCTGTTACAATTTGAAAACTTCATATCAGTTCAGCTCAAATTCAGTTTTTCTAAAAATGTAAGCAGAGTTCCAAATTTTAACAAATGCATTAATGAAGAGTTCACAGTACACATTTTAAGTTCATGTATGTTGAGTTCACGTAGGTGCTGTAAAGAGTTATAGAGGATTTTTCTTTATATGGAAAACAAATATTAATGCCTTGATGTAACAAAGCCATCAATGTCCAGATTTGATATGCAACTTAATACTTTTTTCAGTGTTGTGTTTTATCCAGTCCCAGATTAAATTTGTTTTTCTCTCTCATACACAGTACTGAAAACTCTAAATCCCATTGATCTACTGTGAGTTGAAGGGTGTTTTAGTGCTTTGTAAGTCAACTTCTTTCAGGATCAGGCCTTGGGTGATTTAATTTTTATTGAGGTCTTTTAATCTTTCCTCAAAGGTTAGCTGTCGTTATTATTATTGTTATTATTATGATTGCACTTTGCTATATTCTCTTCAGGTTGTCAGTGGCTTTTGCAATTAAGTTCTCAGAAGTGAAAACAATATTGTAGGTTCAGTCGCACCAGATCTGTAGAGTTAGGAATAGTTTCTCCCTTGTTCTTTTATCTGATGCCTGTGTGTACACTGTACCAAATTGTATTGATCTTTTTATTGGCTGCTATATTGCATTGCAGACACTTGTCTAACTTTCTGGCCACTGTCACCACTATGTCTCTTTCATCATTGTTAGTTTTCAAGTTCTTTCCTCCCACTGAACATCTGTGTAAGGGATTATAATTCCCCAGATCAAGCACACTTGCATTTTCATTATACCGAATTTGGTATTCTCTGAATTTATTATTTTAATGATTACCTTCTTCCCTCCTTTCCATAAATTAAAATATTAATAAATAAAGTTAAAAGTCTCTACAGTTCATAAAATGATATTTATTTTTAGTGCTGCATAAAATCTTAAAAAAATAGTAAGTTCTTTACTTTTTCCCCATTGTATAAAAGTTAGGGTAGTATTATTTATTCAAGTTAACAAGATACATTTCCCACTACTTAGGAACAGCTTTGCTAGTAATTGGATCTGTGTGGGTCTCATTGCTTTGAAAGCTTCCCTCAGATAAATATCCATGGATCCTTATTAATGTCATGCCCCATGATTGACAAAATCTTCCTGTACTTTATCCCAAAATTCAATCAGTTGAGAAGAGGTTGAGAAATAATGGAATTAAGTTGCAAGCTTGCATTTGCTACAGAGTGGGGAAGAATTATACAATATATAATAAGGATTATGCAACATAGCAGGACTATAATAAAGATAAAATATAATCTGTTTTTCCATCTTTATTGCTTTATTACCAGTCTGAATACTACTGAGATCTTGCATCGCCTCATGCCAGTCATGACTATCTGATATTTGTTCTTTTACTTTTCCTTATACCTGGCATATTTGAAGCAAGATTGAAAAATAATACCAGCTGAAAAACATGAATATAATTAAAAACAGGAAGGGAGGAAGGAAAAGGTTAAATATTATAAGTTTAAAAAGACAACATAAAACTCTAATATTTGAAAGCCAAAATGCCATGTTTTTCCTTATTTTGACAAATCAGTTAAAACTCTTTAAAAGTGTTCTGTTCTGTTTATGAACTGATCAGATGAACTAATGAACACTCCATATATTTAAGAAAAAAACAAGACTTTTAGAACATTATTGTTTAATAGTGGTCACCCAAGTATTAATGCAAACACTGTACCAAAATAAATCTTTGAAAGACATTGATGTGACAAGATGCTATTCCACTGACATCTTTGGGTGCATCCACACATGCACTTTACTATGGAGCTGATTAATTTGCTTCACAGTAAAGTGTCACCATCTACACATGCTCCCCTATTATGACATAGCAAATTAATTAACTCCACTGTAGGATAATACTGTCCAGGACAAGTACTATTCTACAGCAGAATAGTTATGTGCTTTGAAATGCAAATGTAGGCAGTGACTGGGACTAGCTGGGGCATGAGGTTGCTACAGCATAGGGCCTAACTGCTAGCTGGCCCTGCAATGGAGCACCCTCATACCCCAGCCAGACCCTCTGCAGCATGGTGAGCTAGGGTGGAGCAGCCCCAGGCTGGCAGGCTGACACCCCTGGGGTTCTCCTGCCAGCTGGAGCTGCTCTGCCCTGGCTCAACATGCTCTGGCCCCAGGCATGTTTAAACACTGTGCCTGGGAATAACAAACTCTGGCACGAACTGTACCAGAATGTATTGCTGTGTGCTAATTGCACACGTAGATGGACCCTTTATAATAGCATTTAATAAAAATAAAGTTAATTATAATCAACTGTTGTTAATGCTGTCCTATAAGGAGTCTTCATGTGCTAGAGTGATACTTTTTCACCTGATCATTATTAAAAAGCTTATTTTCTGATTTGGCCACACTGACTGAAAGAATATTTTTTTAAATAATAAGTTGTTTCCATATATTTATATTCCAAATATTTATATAATGTAGGCAACCTAATAAACATGTGCAGTAGAGATATATATCAATAAAAATATGCATTTGTACTGCCCATTTTATTTTTGATAGTGCACACAGCCTGTATTTTCATGTGCCTCATAGATTCATAGATGCTAGGGTCAGAAGGGACCTCAAC